GACGAAGATGAATCGCTGGAAACGGAGGGTCTACAGGGGTTCAAGGAGAGGGTATCTGCCGCTTGTACCGAGAGAGAAGAACANAGGGATATCGTTAGGATAGACAGACTAGGGAAGACATTTTTGAGCCACCTTTGGCAAAGTAGAAAGGAACGATTGGCCATCGGTGATCGGTCCTGTGGGAACAATGCTCCGTCCTCTCGAGGACGCGTGGTCAATGGTCTCACCGCTAAGGCATGCAAAACATAAGAGTACACCCCCCCCCCTCCCCCGCCCTTTGACCTTGCACTTGTTCCTTCTCGGCGTAGTAAAGCCACCTGTATATCGATGGTGTGGCTTCCGGCCAGGAAGGCTCCCCTCTGGCAGATGACTTCCCCCCCGTAGGCCGCGAGGGGAAGGCGGACGATCTTGCTGGGGACGTCCGTGCCCAGGCCGACCTTGGCGGAAGCGTCGCCGTGGTTCACGTAGTCCGTCACGAACATGTTCTGACCCGTGATTACCCTTCTCGGTGGCACACGAGAGAGGGGGGCCCGCAGATAAAATACGGGTCGGCGTGCGGCAAAAGGCTCGTCGTGAGGACTTTCATTGAATACATGGGCTTTTGCTCTCTCGATCGACGACGCGGTGACTTCTACAAAGAAGCCGGCCAACTGGTGAGGATACCCCAAGGTCGCGACGCACGAGAACCCATCATGGAGTCTACTTGCAATAGATTCTTGCAATAGGAAACTTGGCACAGAAACTCTGTGACAGCAAGCGAGATTTATTTTCTCCACGCCCAGCCCGTCCGCTCCTGGCGGTGGCCCACGATAGCATCAGCGGACGAACGCCTCCGGGGCCAGAGACCAAGGGGGTGAAAAGTGTCGGCGCGTCGGCGGCGGAAGCCCGCGCGCCGGCGCGCTGGTGCTTGGCGGGAGTCGACAAAGATTTCCCCGTTCCTGCACTCTGCCCTCGCGTACCACGCATCATTCATACCTCCGGAACATGCTGCTGGCGCCACCGCCGGTGTTGGTGTCCATCTCAATGCCGTCTTCCATGAAAACGAGGTTGCCCGCTTCCGCCTGACCAGGATTCGCGTGAAGCCAGGCAAACAATGTTAAAACAGATACGTTGGCGCACCCCAATTGCTAACATATGTACGTCCCGAGGTTGCGTGTTCGGGGCTCTTCGTTGTATTGTCGTAACTTTCACACGTTCAGTTGCGCGTCGTGCCTACTATTGATAACCGTCGCGTTAAACGTAGCCTTTCACGTATGGACACGGATGGGGCCCAGCTGACGAAGAGTAAAGATCACGTGATCTCAAGGGTGATAACGGTGCAAAGGTTCCTGTTTCTCTTCTTTGTCACCCGCCTTGTCATCCAACACTCTACGCTCTACGCTCTGGAGGTAGGCGGACCGAAAACCTTGACCGTTGCAGCCAAATTCTCAAAAGCTCTGGATCACAGCGCAGCCGCCATCAGAGTTTTTCCCTTCGGGGTGTGTGGCCCGGTGGCGAAATATGAGGCGGATCCATACGCAAACTGATATCCATGATCAGAGACGCAGCATATGGCGGCAGGGTCGAAGGTGAGCTGCATGTGTGCACATGCACATGGAACAAGTTCCCACAAAAAGATCCACTGATGACCTAGGATATGTGGCATGTTTCCGGCACGATACTTGGAGGATGGGACTACAGTACAGTCAGTATTGGTTGGTGTGTTAGGACCAGAGGCGCGTGCATCCGAGCCAACTCCCCCAAGAAATAATGATCACACCAACGATCAATCAGCTTCGTATTCCACAGCCTTGAGATACCCGGGCATCGTTCAACCCACTCACCCTTATGACTTGGCCGGGCTCCAGCTCAAACGTAACCATCTGCGATTCCTGCCCTTCGACCTTGGACGCCATGTCGAAATCAAGGGGCTTCGCACGAGCAAGGTGGTCGTGCTCCGTGGCGGCTGGGGCATTGGAGGCCCCTGTCGCTGCGACCTCTGCGCCATCGCTGGACCTGCGGTTACTTCTGCTCCTCCTGCTGCTGCTGCTCATCTTTCTGGAGAAGACAGCGGTCGTGGTGGCTCGTTCGCCGGACGCAGTCGCTGAACAAGCGGGGGGAATTGCTGCTGGCGGGGCAATGGAACCGCCCACCGCCAAAACTGACGTAGAACCATTGCCCCTGCGCAAGACCGCCAGCCGCCTGGCCAACTTTGCTAACCCGCGGCAGGTCATCTATATCTTCAGCCTCTTCTGGTTTTGTGGTGGTCGCGCGTGTGCAGGCAGCAGGCAGCCAGAGTTGTGTTTATTCCTCGTTAGATTCTTTAGAGTTGGGAAAGAGGAGTTCCATCCGGTTTCCCAGGGATCTTGGGTTGTTTGTTGTTTTTTGTTTTTCTTCACATGCACACTTCTCCCTTCTTCCCCTCGCTCCTCGACAAGCTTTTGCTTAGACATGGGTTGTAGTGAANGTTGAGCAGCGGCAGCAGCAGCGCTGCCGCTCATGAATTCAGAAGAGAGAGTCTACCAGGGTAAGGAGCAGAAGGCGAGCTTGAGTGTCCGGTTACCAGTACGTTGACAGAAGTCGAAGCGGTGGTTGGTTCCAGCAAGTGAGTGCAGAAGTACGGTCGAGCAGCAGCAGTGTTGACCGACTTGAGTTGAGTGCAGCAGCGAGCAGAACCAACGACAAAGTTTCCTCTTCAAAGCATCATCCATTATCCTCGGTCTTTGAGTCTTTGATCTAGCATCTTCGGCGACAACCGTCCGAGACATAGAGCAACCCACTGACAAGAACCTCGAACCTAGCACAAGAACCGTTAGTGTAGAGCCACATCGCTCTGCATTGGATTGGTTGATTGGGTCACCAACAGAACCCAAAGACCAAGTATCACAGTACGGTGTGCGACGTAGGCCTGTCCTCCATCGGCCGTTTTATTTTCGACTTAGATACACAAACTTTATTTCCATACTAATTTCAAGTAATTCCACCTTCTTATTCTCCGTCATACAAGCAAAACGGCCGATGGAGGACAGGCCTTGTGCGACGATTTTTGAAAAATTGGCGGCGCAATTTTTTTTGCGGTGAGCCCAAAAAGGTTCGGAAACGGAACCAAATTCAACAAAAGAGAACAGGAAGAGACCTTCATTATTCTGCAATTTTTTTCGGTTGGTTCGCCGTGGTTGTCGAGAAATCGTGGATTTTGGAGCTGGGATTTTGTAACGTGAAGTGTCCCCCGCAACGATCGTAATAGGCCCATAACTTGTTATTGAGGAGGAACCAACCGCTGTTTAGTGGCTTATTCGAACGCTGCTGGCTAGAGCTTTCCAACGCATATTTGTTTGTCGCCCAGATCGTTTGGGCTCCCGCTTTTTTTAATCATCCCGCCCCAAAATCGGGGGACAACCGGTGGAACTGCTGTAGCAAGAAAAGGGTACACAAGCCCGAGGGGTTACACCTACAATTCCTGCAGCACGTTTGCGTGCTCACAACTGAACTACACGCCGAAAAACTACAATTTGACTAGTGTACAGCAGCAGCATCACCCCCCTTGTCCCGCACTCAGCCAAAGTGAAAGTTTGTCGACTAGTCTAGACTACTGCGTACCTGTCTGAAGTGCTGTCTGTACAATAATAACACCATGGTGCATGGTTCACAAGCTTGGGGCATGCAGCTGCTGTCTGAAGTGCTGTCAGAATGAGTCCGTGGACATACAATGCAGAAGTACACCCGACCAAAGTCATCATTGCACTTGACAATCACCCGAATCTATCCTGATCATCTGTATTAGGCTCGTAATTAACGCTTCGGAAAAGTCGTGCAATTTTCCACGGAACGGTGAAAAGAAAACCCGACTAGTTTTCGCTTGTTCTATTCGTGATGTCATCGCAAAAAGTACGTTTCCTTCCCTGAAAACACGCTTTGCTCGGCACACAACCGGTTGACTGTTCGTGGGTCTGTAAACATTAGTATTGGATGCACATGCTGTATGATTTGGTGTCACGCAGATTGGTAAGATTGCCGTTTGGTAGGGGGCACCGCGATAATTCACGGGGCCCCTCTTTGCTGTGGGAGCCGCTCTTTAAGCACTCCCTCTTTCGTCCGTGTGAAGGACGGTCATCTACCTCTCATGAAGTTAATACATCACCAAAACAGTCTCACCCAATAAATAAGTGGCGTAGGCCGCAAGCAATCTAGTGTTTTTGCCCCTCGAGGGAAGCCACATTGGGATGAGCTCTGCTGGANCATCTACCTCTCATGAAGTTAATACATCACCAAAACAGTCTCACCCAATAAATAAGTGGCGTAGGCCGCAAGCAATCTAGTGTTTTTGCCCCTCGAGGGAAGCCACATTGGGATGAGCTCTGCTGGAGACGAAGAGCGCACTGCTGCGAGCGGAGAATCGATCCGCCCACCGGTGCAGGAGGGCAGCGATGCGGAGCTTGTAAGTTCGCAACTGCAGGTTTCGCGATTGGCGGCCCTGGTGGAGGAGTCGATAAAGAAGAAAGAGCCTGGCAGCGTCGTGGCGGATGCAGCCAGTAGTGGCGGCTGGGTTGCCGCCACGGGAGGCCAAGAAGAAGAGTCCATGCAGCCGCTCGGCGGTAGCGGGGGATTTCTCCAGCAGCAACCGAGAGATGGTGGGCAAGGACTACGGCAGCTGCTGGAAGGCGGCTAAGTCAGCAGATCGGGAGCGAACCCTGTTGGACCAGCCGGAGTGGGCCCGGGCATAGGACCGGACTATGAGGAAGCGAGGAGGTTAAGCCCCCCAGGTGAGATACCCGTGATTCGAGGAAACGGAGAATTCCTCGACGGCTAAAGCAGTAGCCACATGAAGAGAGTAACAGTCAATGCCCCACGTCTCGAAGGGGAGAGTCGCGGCAATGGGTATGACTCGTGGAGAAAGTCGCTTATCCAAGCGGTCAAGACTGTNCCTGTGATTCGAGCAAATGGAGAATTCCTCGACGGCTACAGCAGTAGCCACATGAAGAGAGTAACAGGCAATGCCCCGCGTCGGCGCCCATGGGTATGACTCGTGGAGAAAGTCGCTCATCCAAGCGGCCAAGACTGTAGGACTGGACGGCCGATTGGTCGGCAACAGCGAGAGACATGCACCTGTCGGCAACCCAAACGTGCCAAGCTCGGAGCTGTACCGCCTCCAATACACCAGCGATGCGGTCCAGAGGGGCCTCCAAGCGTGCCATTTTGTGACCACTGCCATCGTCAGAGAAGCTGACAAGGCGATCGTGAACAAATGCGAGACCGCAAAAGAGATCCTCGCGGAATTCGACAAAATCTACGATCCGAAATCGCACAGCAGCAGAAACCCCATCGAGCACCTGTACTCGCTCGAGCTGCTGTACTCACGCCTACGCGAAAAAGGGCTCAACGCTGACGCACCCTTTGTACTCGCCCACTTCGTTGGTTCCCTCCTACTCGAGTACCAACAAGCGAAGTTCCTGTTGGAGACAGCAANCATCTCAGGCGAGTGTCACAAAGTCGTTGGTCGAGGGGGTGTAGAGCAGGCTAGGCGGGGTAGGTGTGTTGCCGATACCGGCGCTACCACTCACATGTTCGCGAACTCAGATGGCTTCGTCCGATATCAGGAGTGTGATCGACGTGTGCGCGTCGCCGCCGGAGAAACCTTCCCTGTTGTAGGGTACGGCGACGTAACGGTCACCCTTAGCTCGCGCGACGGGATAACAGACCTGATCTTGAAATGGGTTGCATACGTTACTCGATCAGACGACAACCTAGTCTTTCTGACGTCCCTCTTCGACGACGGGTTCAAAACCAAAACCCTAGACAAACACGAGTTGGAGTTGGAGAAAGAGGTGGGGGAGTCGGTGTACTTCCCCCGATGCGGTAACCTGTACGTCCAAAACGGTTTCCGCACACACACCGAACATGCCTGTGCCGCAATTGCTCCTGGCAACGCGAAAGCGCCCAGCACCCCCGTTGACATCAACGATTTCCACTGCGCGCACGGCCACTCCCACGAGGTGCTGCTGAGGACCACGGCGAAGCAGCAAGGGACGACGCTGGTGGGCGAGCTCCGGGAGTGCCTGGGGTGCTCGACGGCGAAGGGGCTTTCCAAGCCCATCCCCAACAAAACGTCGACCCGAGCAGTTAAGAAACTGCAGCGAGTTTTCGTGGATTTGAGTGGAAAAGCTAGGGTGCAGAGCTTGGGGGGAAAGTGGTACACTCTCATTGTCAAGGATGATTACACAAGGTGGAACCGTGTCTATTTCCTGAAACACAAATCAGACGCAGCTGAGGCATTCGAGAGGCATCTTGCAGAAAACCGGGCAGACGGTTCCCCGTCCGATGTCATGGTAGTGAGATCTGACAACGGAGGAGATTTTTTTTAGGGAGAGTTCGGCAAGGTGTGCCGGAAGTACTGCATCAAACAGGAGTTCACCCCCGCGCACAGCCCAGAATACA